AAAAAAAATGTATTCTTTCTGAACACAGTCCCTCCTCCTCTAGTACAAAATAGTCTCTTATAAGACTGGGGGGACAAAAGCAACTTTTTAAAATGCTGACTGCCTGATTAACCCTGAGTCTGGGAATGCCTCCAATATGTCTAGCTGATGTATTACTCTTTATGTAGAAACACCTATCCACTGTAAGTTCCACCTTTCTTCCCAAACAACCCTTGATGTTGCTGCATACATCATAGGCTGTGACATAGCAAGCTACACATTCCTCCAGAGCACATATATTTTTCCCCCAAGATATAAGCGTTAGGTCTGGGGGGTTGCAGTGTGGAGATCTTGCCTTATGGCCACCCAAGACCATGTTTCTATCTGTAAGTCCCCCTAGTCAATCATCCTGCACAGACAAGCTGGATTTGTCTGCCTCGTTCTTTGGTTTTTCGGCTCCTTTGGCATTTGGTGGTTGCTTTGCATATACAACCCTTTCATGGAATAATGATTATCTCTTCCCTGCATTTCTTTATATTTTTATTGCTTCCCAAACAATATGGTTTACTCGTTTCTTCTAACTATGTAAATGGAAGCATTTTGTACATATAATTGTAAGTCTTACTTCTCTCAGCCTCCATTATATTTTTAAGATTTGTCCATGTTGTTATGTGTCATGGAGATTCACGCACTCTCACCACTATGTGGTAGTCCATTGTACAAATATATTGCCATTTATCTGTTATACCATTGATGCTAGTTTGAATTGTTTCCACTCTGGGATTCTTATAAACAGTGCCTTCATGAATATTCTTATACCAATATCCTTGTTTATATGTGCACGAGATTCTTTAGGCTATAAACCAGGAGTAGAATTGGTGAATCATAGGGTACATACATTTTTGACTTTACTGATAATGCCAAGTTATTTTCCAAAGTCACTGTATCAATTTACACTCCTTCTAGAAACATCTGAGAGTCACTATTCCATATTGCTCACGTTTTTAACCTTGCAACTGTCCTAGCCATGGCAAATACTCACATGTCCCTCATCAGACGAGCATCCTCAGCTCGGACCAGCAAACTTCGGATAAGATTAGAATTGTCAGCCATGTTGGCACTGAGCTTCTGATGCACTGAATGATATTCATCCACCTGGAGACCATGAACACTTAGGAATTAAAATGGCCTCACAAACTTCTTGAAAACTAGACAGATTGAGAAGACACTACTTATCATATACAGAGGCCCTTTTCTTTCCCTATTCACTTACACCAACTTAGCTACTTCCCATTATTTCATCTCCCCCTCAACAAAATAGTCTACCCTGCCTCCAATATTCCATAGGACGCTCCATGTAGACCCTTCTCATACCTTACTTAGCACTGGGAGCCCTAGCAACACACATATTAGCATTTTAGGGATTTGCAGTGGGAATGTCGTTACACTTTGGGGCCAATCACAACCCTCCTTATTTTGATTTGTTTTGAATTTGGGTTTTTTGGAAAGATCTAAAAGTAGATACAACAGATAAGATGAAGGGCTAGCAAAAGAAAACGTTAATATGACATTTTTTTAAAGTATCCTATCCCCCTAAACCAAACAAAGCAAGCAAGGTGGTCAGGAGCTAACCACTTACTTTTATGGAAGAAATCCTTTAACTGGCAAACTCTCCGATACTAGTTCAATTTTTGTTTCAAGATTTATGAAAATTCTTTAAAAGATCACCATCACAAGTACATTTGTACTTATGTTATCATTAATCTCCTCAGGGAAACACATCAAACATTATTAGACTGCCATATTCTCACAGATGTATCCACTAGGTGCCCTCACCTTAATTAGCACCTTTCGTAATTCCTCAAAGTAGGTGGGAAAATCCGCTTCTACCTGAAGGTCTTCAATAGCAAAAGATGATGCCATTGATTGGATGATATCACCAGCCAAATCAATATCGTCAGTATTGACAGTGATCTATGCAAAGAGAAAATAGGACAAGTTTAGCATCCTCAGATATTAGACAAACTTAGCTGAAACAGTACCTTCCCCACATTCAATACAATTATTGAGCATATATTTATATGTAGTGATACATAAGATAAAGTTTAGTCCTCAAGAAAATTACAAACTGCAGTCATTATTTCCAGCAGCTGGCAAAAAGTTCAATCCTCTAGCCTTATAAAGTAAATCACAAAATCATTCAAACAGTAAAAATGATTTTGTTCACATCTGTATTCCCAATCCTTCCCAAATTAGATAAGGAAGGAGTGAAGGGAAGGAGAGAAGGAGAAAATCTCTGTTACAGATTATGCCCCAGAGTTTAAGATGGTAACACTAACAGACTAAATTGAAACGTGATTTTATGACTTTGATACTGGTGTCCCCCCCCTCACTCTGCACTGAATGGTAAACACCACATGAGAAATCTATGCCCATGACATTAAACATTACCTCTCCGTTAAGTTTTATTTTTATATACAGATGGCCACCATTCCGTAAGGATGTGAAACACACTTGAAATGGAGCATTCTGAATGTTACTGTCTTCCGGTAACAGAAAGTTCTGACTGAGCCACATAGCAACCTTAAAAATGAACACAATGAAATGAGCTTCCATTTTTAAAGCACGGCCATCCTTAAGGCAAGAGTTCTCCTTCTTTCTAGTGTTACTACTTGGTTAAAAAAAAAGAGTTATATTTCACCCCCCACCAAGAAAACACTAATCATACTCCCTCCCCCCACCACACATACATGTTAAGGAACATTCATAATTATGCCGCACCCCACAGCAGGCATGATTTTAAAGAATTTTTTACTGAGACATAATCTTATGTGCAATGTATAAATGATTCGGGTATGATGCTAAGTCTGCTACACAATAGCTCTTCTGTGGTTGTATCCCAGACAACATAGTCTGCTTAAAACTATTCTATTCATTCCTTGAAAAACATTAAATGAAGTGCATATATCACAGTCAGAGCTATATCCACACAATAAGTAAAGAATAAGTTTCAATGTTATGATAATAATACTTTTCAGTGGTCTGCATCACAGGACCCACGTAAGAACCACGTAAGAGGCCTTTGGGGAGGGCCCACCTTTAGAGTTTCTGGTTCCACAGGCCAAGCAGGGGTCTGAGAATCTACATGACTTAAAAGCCTCATCAAGAATTCTGAAGCCCACCCAGTTAAAGTCCACTGGTATTAGTCCTTTAAACTTTACAAGGTACTGTCAGATAATCCTCAGGGCCCTCCAAGGAGGTGGGCAAAACTAGCCTCATCTACAGATAAGAAAATTGAGCTCAGACTGGTGAGGGGAATTCCCCAAGATCACTAAGAATTTAATTATAATAGTCAAAATCGCACTTGAACCCAAAAATATTCCTAGCTCTAAGTCTCACTCTCTTTTCATCTTGATGCAGGTTCCTCTTAAAATACTAGGCCAGGACAACCACACTAAGACCATAACAAGAGAAAGAGAGAAACTAAAAACTGGTAAGAATTCACCTATAACTCAGGATTGCTCAGATTTTTTCTAAAGTGAAAGCAGATATTCTAGCAATATTTTTAACACAGATTATAAGCCAACTCAAAGTTACATAGTTCTTTCATACCATGTTTGCTGCTACCAACTTAATACACTCATGTATTTCCCCCTTTCTATAAAATACCATGGGAAGGATTCCACACTGCAAAAGCATTGGAAGAAAAAAGCAAGGCTCTCACCCGCTGTGGCCGCTCTGCAATGGTGAAGTTCACATAACTGAGCGGCTCGCTGGCAGAGTC